GTATGCATACAGCATGCACAGGTATTCACCTTCGCTCATCAGTTTGTGTGTGGCTACACATGAAACACTTAGAAGTAACTTATATTCAGAGGAAAAAAATTATTTGTATTTTCTCAGTTGAAGTTCTTAACTGGATTTTCCCCAGGACTGCAGCAGAGGTTGGTGTATGAGGTGTGAAAAATGTTTGGATGAGTTATCTGCTGACTCTCCTGACCTGGTTCAGACAGTCCTGATTTTGGTATCTCTTTCTGAAGAACTGCTTTCCTAGCCGCTTTCTTAGGATTTTAGTTTTGGGTTTTTTTTTATTTTTAGGCTTTTCTCCTGGCTGTATTTTGGCGGGGGGATGTATTGGCATTTTTTTTCCCCTTGCTCAGTTGGCTTCAAATGAACCCTGCTGCCCTGGGACCAAGTGTGAAAGGAGTATGCGGGGCTGAGCTAAGAAGGAGCCTCTCGATGCAGGGAGGGCAAGGGAGCAGAAGGAGGCTGCTGAGTAGGTGTTGGAAGGAATAACCCCGTGAACACGTGCAAGGTCAGCCCTGGGGACAATACAAGGAAACCAGCAGGGAGTTGGGGAAAATCATTGTGACCGATTGAAGTGAAAGAAGAGGTGGAAGGTGAATGCACAGGACCATTTTTAGACACACAGAGGTGGCACATCTCACTTGATCCATTTACACATAGGATTCCCTCCTTCCCCCTTCCTTAAGAAATCACAGGTATACTGGTTCTGCTGATCTTTTTATGTGCATCTTTTGGGATGGTTCAGCAGGTTTGTCTAAGTCATGCTCATTAATAGATCCAGATTCCACACATCTTCCCTAAAATCTGATATGAGACTTGTCCTTAGCAGACTTTCTGATGTGCTAGAAACTATGAGGAATTTATATTTTATCTGTTAAAATGTTACAAAGACGTTGCCAGAAGCTGAAAAATTGAAAACAATAGTTTCACCTTAAAAATGCCCCTTGGTGATTGAAAGTTAACATCAGCTTTTGGAATACTGCTGTACAAATGGCCTACAGATTAAATTAAGTTAGAAAATATACTCCAGTAAGCTCATTTTTATAGTTTCAGTTAAAGCTTTTAAATTAAATGCTATGTGTGTCTTAAATAAATAATACCCTAAAAAAGAATTAGGTAGAATACAGGTAGAGGCACACACTTGGATTTAAATTTTAGGACAATTTCATTAAGTAGCTTTTGGGAATGTGGTATGTGCCAAACCTGCAGAAAATCAGAAAAGGGAGTGTGAGTATATTTTGTTAGTGCAAAGTAAGTTACTTGTGGTATGTTATTACTCTCATCTAATTAAACACTATTCTCAGTCTCTTATCTCAAATGGGAAACTAGATCTGAGTTCAGTAGGGTGTAGAGCTCTGAATGCCAAATCAATGTTGTTTCAGTATTCTCCCTTTCTCTGGTAATAATACACTAATTGGTCTAAATATATAGGTAGAAAAAAATTTGAGATTTATGTCCAGGAAACATTTTTATAGCGAGACAAAAAGAAGTGTGATGTTACTTGTTATCATCTTGCTATTTATTTTGCTCTTTTTAGATTGGCCAGTCTGAAGTTTACCTTATCAGTCCTGACACAAAAAAAGTAGCAATTGAAAAAAGCTTTAAAGAAATATCCTTTTGTTCTCAGGTAAGATTGCAGTGTATTCCTTCTCTGTTTTTTTGTTTAAATATTCTCCACTTGTGAATGCTCATGCACTCCTCTCTCCTAGCATTTCAAATGGATTCTCACCCCAGTGGTTTCAGTAATTGCTATTGACAAGTTGCTAGTTAATCAGTAATTTTGTAAAACTGTCATTCTTTTCTCATGCTTTGCATTGTGATTTCTGAGATAAAGACTCACTTCTGTGTGTGGTGGATGAATAATATGAGCTAGAAGGAGCACCCTGGTCAGCTCTGGTTTGAGATTTCAGCAGGCGTGATTCACAGTTGTGCAAATCTGGGATTCTCTGAGCCGTATTTTTCAAGAAGTGATAATGAAAGGAGATAAATGATATGTAAGAGTTTTCTGAAAAATACTTAAATATATTTTTTTCAGAGTATAAATTGCATGTGTGTAAAAGAAGAGAACCCTCTGCTATGCAGAGGTAGTGTGTGTGATGCACTGAGGGCAAGCATATTTCAAAGCCTCCTCATTCACTATTAATCCCTGTTCCTTATCCCATAGAGTTTGCTTCCCTGTCCTTCACTCATTTTCATGGCTCTTTGATTTTTGCATGGATTATGTGAGGGCACAATTTATCTAACGACATTTCGAGTGATGATATTTTGAAAGAGATGCAGCTTACACATGTGAAGATGTGGTAATGGCGTTGCGTAGGTTACACAGGTGTGTGATTCACACTCAGCTACTGCAGGGGCTCAGCAGTGTGAGGGCAGAATAGTCACCGTCACAACAAGGACATGGGACAGCTCGGGCAATTACAGTACTCCTGTATGGGCAGCTGCACTAACTGCTGGCGGGTCCTGTGTACAGGAGCAGAGGACCCTCCCTTGAGAGTTGCTCAGATATCAGCCTGCAGACCGAAACAACTGTTTGTAAAGACATTTCATAGACCAGTTGCTTTTGTTAACTAACCAGTGTCATGATGCAGGGATTTGTCTTTCACTAGCCATTTTCTTTCCTGCAGGACATTATTTGTATTTCGTTTGTGTATCAGATTTGATTCAGTTTAAGTGAATGGGGAAATTGAATTTAATCCATTAAACTAGTATAGAGTCCTTAGAGAACACTTAATTCCTTTAAAACGTGTAACAGATCATTTTTGTTTAAAACTCTGAGAAATTAACCTGAACTATAATTATGTAAATAAACTTACATTTATTGAGGAATGGATGTTCCTGCTAGGTTAACTAAAAATTCACCTTGAATTAAACCAATGCAATGCTTGTTTGCACTGTGGGCTTGGGTGGGAATAAGACCTAGTATACCAGGATGTGAATTGTGCCAGTCTTTCTTGCACTAGGAGCTATTTTGCACTTGGCTTACTCGCATAGTGCAGGTCTACTCAGTGCATCACAGGCTCTGGTCTTAATGATATTTGGGCAAAACTTTTTTTTTTGCAGTGGGTTTATTTACCTGTTTTTAAATATAAGGAATATGATTTGCTGTTATTTGCGTCTAGCTTTTTTAGATTGGTTTGGGGTTGGTTTTTTTTTTTTTCATAAATGACTGTTTTTTAATTTGATGAGGATAGCTTTCATCACTAAACATACAGGTGCCTATTCTGAAAATTTCAGAGTAAACATAAGTAGTGCATGCTGTCAGATCAAGAGCTTTGAAGAGAACTCCTTGATCACAGAAAAATCTTTATCCCCATGTTTCCTTAGGCCGCCTCCTTAGGCAGGAGCTAGTTAGGTAGACTTTGTGACTTGCCCTGAAGTTCAGCAGACGGTTGTGCTCCTTAGACCAGTAGAAGTGAGATTCTGGTTGAATTCTCCCCTCCTGTCTGAAGAATGTGCTACTGGGCAGATGTTATGTCAGTTGGGCAAATACTGGTATTGGGGTACAGAAGGCTTTTCCCCCAAGTATGCACATTTCAGAAGACTTGACAGAACGATCTTATGGACTCATCTTGATCATACAAGAACTTTAATCATCTTTTCTTGAAGGCACTGGAGTTAAATTATAAGGGAGATCAGAATCAGTACTTAATTTCCAGAATGCCCAATCCATTGGTGAGACATTATAATGGCAGAAAGAAGTATGTGGTCCTGGGGCAGTATCTGAATTAGCTAATCTGAAACAGCTAAAAGCGTTTGCCAGCTCCTGGTACCTCACAGTTTTGTGGGCAGGACCATGATCCCAGCTGGGTTTCCTCCACTGTAGCAGTTGGGTTTTCAGGAGAAGAAATGGGCTTTCAGAAGAAGAAACATGGGCAGGGGGGTTAGAGAGGGGGTTCAGTGTGTTCTGTACACATCTCTGATGTGGATGATGGAGGGAGAGACTAAGCGGCATCAGCCTGTTCTTGCTTTATCACATAGCTGCCTCCTAAAATGCTTAGCCTGGACATCCAGTGGAGCTACAGTTGGAGAAGGTGCAGGATTTATGTCGTTTGAATGTCCTTCTGATCTTTTTGTTCTCATGGTGTATTAGTGCCTGATGTTTGTGTAATAAAGCCTTTGTTATCCATGTGTAATCGTCACACTCCAACAAACCAGATACCTCCATGTACATTAAATCATTTTCCTTCATTCAGCTGGCATGCTCTGAAGGTTTATTGTTAGTATTTCGAATGATAAGACAGCATTGTTCGGATTGCTTAAGGATATTCTGATGCTATAACATATTCTTTTTTGGGACACCTGGCCATTCTGTTTTATAGAAGTATTCACTTTTTATGCTTTTTAAGTGCTTTTTTAAAATGTCGTCTTCGTGATAAAAAGACAAAGAGAATATTCAGTGAACCTTGCTGTGTTAACAAGGAAAAGCAAAAAAACCCAACAAAAAAGTCCTGCTTGGCATCTTCAGATTGTTTACATTTCACTGAAATTTCTGATTTACTGTGATTCATTGTTATGATTTTTGATACAGTAGCTTATTGCCTCTCTTTACCTGACTTTAATATTGTTGTGCCATGACAGCTAGAAGGTAGTAAAACGGTGCTGTGTGTAATTGAATTTCTATAAACAGGCTCTACCACTGTGCATGTAATTCATCGTCATAAGTTTGTTGTTTTTTTTTTTTTTTTTACCAAGAGTGATGCACTGAGGAGACATGCACTGGGATCACCTAACTCTACTCATCTGAAAGTCTTTTCATAAAAGAAAAAAAGTTGCCAGCAATTAAAAAAACCTTCTTAGCATTTTACCAGGATGTGCTGCTTATCTGCTGTTGCGAGTAGATTGTGCCTGAATTTGCATGCCTTTTAGGAGAAATAAATGCTTCCATGAGTGATCTTTAAGTGATGTATTTAACCATTTTCATTTTTTAACTAGCCAAGCTTTACTTTAGATGAAAAAAAAAAATGTTTATCCTTTTTTCACTATTGGTTTGATTTGCTCTTACAAATGTAAAGCAATTGTTGACTGCGTAAACAAAAGACAAGAAAAACGGAGCGAGCTTTTTCCCCTGCTATTTCCAATATTGAGTAAAATACATCTTGAATAGTATTTCTTCATCCCTGTAAGTGTTTTCCAATGGACCTATTATAATTCAGTCATTAAAAAAAAAAAACAAAACCAACGACCAACCTCTAACTTAAGTGAAATTTAAACGATTCATGAAGTAATAGGTTCTATAACATAATAGATTTTTTAATGGCCAGATGACTTTAATGTAGCTGAACAGAGATATGTGACCTATCTGTGATGCTGTTGGGCCTTTCATGCTTTTGTTACTGCAAAAATACAGGTACTAAACATTGAAAGTAAATATGACTGCTTCATTACTGTTGCTTTTGTGCTAGGGAATTAGACATGTGGATCACTTTGGGTTCATCTGCAGAGAGTCTTCAGAAAATGGAGGCTTCCACTTTGTTTGCTACGTGTTTCAGTGTACAGATGAAGCACTGGTAAGTGAAAGAGAAGAGCAGCCTAATAGAATATTAGGCCCTAAAATTCTTCTATTGTTCCATGCTCTGTGTTTTACTGAATGTCTTCAAATCCTGCTCCACTCAGAAATATAGTTATTTCAAAAATGTAACTAACATAGCAGTCTGCAAAGGAACTTTTAATTTGTTTTGAAAGCAGAAGTTAAAATTCCCTTTAAAATCCGATAAAACTTCCTTTCATTGCACAAACTAAGTTAGACTGTATGCCTCTTTTTTGGAAGAGGGTTTTTTCATAGTGTACCTGTAAGAAAATCAGGACTACGCTACTGTGCTCTAGGTCGCGCCAGTGTGTCACAACTGCAGTAGGCTTTTTTAATCACAGACTAGAAGAGATTTCTAGATAGAGATAGTATCTTTTATTAGACCACAGTAATAAAATTGGGTGGCCTGGAAGAGGTAGGACTTCACGATGAGTTTTGTTTTGCTTGTGTGTTTGTGCGCAGAAAGGACACGGGAACAGCTTTTCTTTTTAATCGTAACCACGTTCCCAAATAAGTGGCAGTATCATTCTAAAAGTCTGTTGTGTTTGTGTTAAGGAAAACAGAAGCTCAGTGGAGGAGTGAAATTCTGTTCTTTTGCACTCTATTCTTTTCAGGTTGATGAAATCATGATGACATTGAAACAGGCTTTCACCGTAGCTGCTGTGCAACAAACTTCCAAGGCACAGCCCCAGCTCTGTGAAGGATGTCCTATGCAAAGCTTGCATAAACTCTGTGAGAAGATAGAAGGTGAGGTTTAAAGAACTTTCTGGTTGAATATTTTTTCTAACAATTTTACTGGGGGACAGTCTTACATGTGAATGTAAGGGAATGAATGCTTAAAAAGAGCTTGGGACTTGGGATGGAGGGTTGAAAGCCAGTCTTTTTATTTAGAGGACTGCAATGTAAAGTTATCTGTAAGGTAATAAGAATTTTCTAACACAAGTTAAACTCCTTTCTTGTATTTTAGTTGAATTTTTGAAAACTAATTAAGAGTCTAAATATTACTGAATTGCAGCTAGCTTGGCTTTATTAGGTGTATAAACACAAAGGATTGTAGATAAGGAACTTCTGAAGAATATATGCTGCAGTAGCTATGACCTGCTGTCCTATTGAATCCACTTAGATACTGGCATTACACTACCACTAAACATGAACCAAACGGCGAGCTTTTAATATGCATGTCTGTGGTGTTGTTGACCTATGCTTCGTGAAAATGCAGCAGTTAGAATTGTAGTTGTTGCCCAGAAAACAAGTTCAAGATAAAAAAAAAACCTCTTTGTTTTTCAGCAGATTTCACAGTTACGTTTTGTTCATTTAAGCAATGTCTGGGGTGAATAAAGGGCAACAGCAGCTTGTCAGATCACATGGCAGTAGCTTGTTGGACTAAAACCTATGTAGTATTAATTTGATGAAACTGGAGAACTTCCAAAACTACTTTTAACTCTGTTTTGGTCTTCAGCTAGCTATGATTTTTGAGAAGTTTCTTAAAGGCAAATGATTCTTAATGCCTTTAATCATACCATCTGGTTGATCATATCATCTGCTTCTTTTTGAAGGAGAAATGCCATGATCAGAAACTGCAGTACAAAATACTGTTGATGGTTTGCTGTTTTTCCACAGAAAATAGAGGAAAGGAATTTAATCCAGGATGAGAGCAGAAAAAAAAAATCTGAATGACAGGGTAGTCTGCTTTAGACTGTCGGTAAATGTTTTCAGCAAGAGGCAAAGCAAGAACCTCACTAACATGCAATAAATTCACTCTTTTTCAGAAGAGGCCAAGGCATAAAAATTGGAGAAAATACATGGAAATTATATTTATACCACAAAGCAAAATCCAAGCAGTACTGCATAAAACACCAACAAAGCAGTCTGCTAAAAATGCAGTAGACTGTGGGTTTATTCTATCTTGTGTGATAATGGAATCTTCAGCTAAGAGTATAATCCTGGTCTGTGCTCAGTAAATCTCCTCATTGCAGAGTTCGTGTCCCTCATTTTAAAGACATGAGTTCAGTAGTAGCTTTAAATTAACCTAGAGTTCTTTCTAATGCCCTGTTATGAAATCAGTGCAATGGGTCAGCTCAAATAACTGATGAGCTTTGGCTTAAATTGTGTGCATATTTATGTGATTGATTAATAATGACAAATTTGACCCTGTGATTTGTTCTTTTTTGTTCCTCTTGGTAGGGTTACACCCTTCTAAGACTAAACTAGAACTACAAAAGCATCTAACAACACTAAATAACCAGGAGCAGGCCTCTGTTTTTGAAGAAGTTAAGGTAAGCTCTTCGTTTCCTACAAGATTTTAAAGCAATTGATGTTTTTTGCTAACATCAGTGTGAAGCACCAAAGTTATTCTCATTTTTTTGTGAATTTTTCATTGTCTTTATTTAATAGACTGTTAATGACCTTGTGCTTTAATTTTAATATCATTATTTTTCTAGAGCTGTTAAAAACTTGTCTTTTGATGAAAATAGCTTATTTTACTCATTTTTCTTCCCCTAATACTACTTGTTTTCCATGAAAATGTTGACTTCTCACTGAGTAAAACTGCATGCATTTTTTTGTGGGTGAAGGCAGTAACTGGTACTGTGAGAACATTCAACTGTTACTTTGACCAAAACAAATTACTGTAACATTCCCAGATCAGAAAATTTCCTGCCTAAAATTTATCCTAGATCTTAATACTTGTCAAACTAACTAAAAAAGTTTAACTTTCTATTTTCTGAACGAAATCCATTTTAGCACAGAGGAAAGCATAGTTGGATTTAAGACAGATGATGAATATTGTAGGAAATGTCGTTGGGCTTGGCACACTATTGAAGATTAGGAAATTTCAGACTTTTTTAAAAATAATGTTTCCTTCCTCTCTTGAGTCATTTCAGTCTCTTTGTGTGTTTCCATGTGGCAGTTTATCATCCAGTACCAAATTTGGAAGTTACTCTGTGGGAGCGATTCCATGAGCTAAGTAATTTCTTAGTATACAGCAGCTAGCTGGCACTGTTGCCTTTTAGTATTCTGCACACATTTTAACTGTCTAAAGCTTCTAGTGGTCACAGGAAACTGTTAATTGCTTCTGGTGAGAGTCTGCAAACAATTAACTCGGTAAAACCAAGGGTAAAGTACATCTCTCCTGTCTATCTTTTTCAGCTGATTTTTTGAGTTGGACTGCCTGAAATTTTAGTTGTTGCATTCTTACAGCTCCGTATGTTGTAACCATGATTTGCATTTTTATAACTTTCTAAGGGTATTTTTGTTAATCTGATGTGCTACCCTGACATTAGCTAATTCATACTGTATGCTCTGTATTACATCGATAGGCTTAAAACAGCATATGCTTTTCAAAAGCTAGGTTTCTGGGATCAAATTCTCTAATAAATTGTTTTAAAAACATTTTCTCTTACAATAATTCAGATCTAAATAGAATGCAGCAGAGACAAATATGTTCACCTTGTGCACTAATTTTTTAAAAACGTATCATTTCCCAAAAATGAAATGTCCAATGAGAAGGATTTCTAGGAGAAGGGTTGTGCATCATAACTGCAGGACAGTACTTCATGTGTGCTCCAAACTCAGAACTACAGTGTTTTGGTTTTCTTTACATCAAAAGCAAATTGGCAAAAATATTTTTTGAAGTCTTTATTTGCTTGTGGCAATTTGATACCTCTACAGTTGTCCTTTATCTTTCATGTAAATTCTGTCCTGTGTGAAGTGAGGTCAAGTGTTTCTCTGGCTGTATTGCTGCTTTGCGTGGGACACTGGTGTCCTCTGGTGGACTGCAGTGGTAGCATTAACCAAGTTAAACTTCTTACGCTAATGACGTATTGACAGTGACAAAATGAAAAGAGTAAAAATTTGCTAACTGTTATACAAATGTATAATTACTGTGCTTTTGGTGTTTTCAATTAAAGAAATTAAGACCAAGAAATGATCAAAAAGAGAATGAGTTGGTTATCTCTGTTTTGAGAAACATGTATGAAGAAAAACAGAAGGACCATGTTCATGTTGGAGAAGCGAAACAGGTAAGTAACCATTCAGTTTTAGTTCCTGTAATGAGGAGCCAGGAAAAAAATCTTCCATTCCATTTTTATATCTTTCCAAAGGCAAATTTCCATCACTGGCATTTTGGAACTTCAAACTGTAGGAAGTGGTGAACACTGGTTTTGCTTATGATTCATAGGCTGTTGTCATGCGCCAAAACAGGCATATCTCAGATTTTGAGGTACCCAATACAGTCTGATTTCAGGCCTAGGGGACAGAGATGCACACAAGGTAGACCACTAATTTGGTTGTTTCTTTCTTCTCATTACAATGAAAATTCAATGTATGTGAGAGAAGATGTAATGAATTTGAAATTGCTCTCAGCTGATCTGTGGCATTTGCCATCCCGCTGTCTGTCTGTGTGAGTTCAGTGTCCCGACAACACATTGGATTTGATCCTTGATAAAGACTATTACATTTACTCGATAGCTGGAAGTTATTTCTTGTGTGCAAACCACCATTTGAAGTGGCCTCAAGGAGGAGTAGCTGAGGAGGATTGCTGCAGAAACAGCAGCAGAGACTCATCTATTTCCAAATAGCTGAGCTACCTTTCATTCTGTATCGGGTTGCATCAGTGCTGTTTAACTGGCTATTTATACAGCACGGTTAAGATTTTTCAAAAGGGACTAATGATTTTGGATGCCTTGGTTTGTGACTGACTAACTTGAGACATCTCGAGGAGGTCTGTATTTAAAAGAGGATCAGACCTCATTCTCTGGAAACTTTCAGTTCCCATTATTTGACCCTTTTAAAAATCTTGGCTGTCCCACCACTGCCGGGCAGTAGTTGTGATGACTGCTGTTGGCCATTTGTGATATACTGAATGAATATGGAATGAATATGGAATGAATATATGGGAAGTAATTAGACCCCTGAAGAAATTGGGGAAATAGCAGCAGGTCTTCATTTCCTGTTTTTTCACTTTGTTAATCTCTTCTCCTTTTATGATTTACTGGCTAATTATTGACATCCCTGAGAAAGCAGGAAGAAAACTTTGCATAATTTGTTCTGATTTCTTGTCTTGGGCATCTCACCAGAAATACGTTTTTAAGAAAAAAAACATTGTAGTTATGGCATGACAGGAAGAAACATTGCCTGAGGTCCTCTATCATCATGCTTGAAATATTTTTATTTGGTCTGATGCCAACTGATTATCAAGTAGTTGTCCGTCACGAATGGCTTGGAAATAGAGATATACGAAACACGATAATATCTTAATATGTCTTCAGTGTGATTTGAAAATTCCTAAGGCCTGCTGCAGTCTGTTTGCTCAGTTCCTGGAACCAAAATTGGTTAATCTGACACCTGCAAAGATGCCAATGCTCTAAGAACAGAGTTGACTTGCCCTCAGTCCACCATTTGTCTTAGCATAGCATTTTATATTTACTCTGATAATTTATCTCCAGAGCTGTGTAATAGCAGGTACCTTTGAACATGTGCTGTCGCAGTGTTATTTGTCTCAGCAATCATTAACCCATGACATCCTGACGTCTCTGTTCCCTTCTTTTCCGCATAGGTGTTCACTTTTGTGCTTTTCATCACTTTTTTTTAAATATGTTTAAATCAGGGGAGGAAAAAAATGAAATGTTATAATAGGATCTTATTTAACTAAAATGACCTTCAGAATAAGTGTCTCTTTATAAGAACATAATAGCAGGCAGCATCTGATTTGCCTTTTGAGGATAAGATGAGCGAAGGTAAAAAGAAAATACAGAAGCCTGTAACTTTGTCGTACTGGGAATAGGATGCTTTAAAATTACATCTAGACAGGAGTATTTGGTGATGGTGATGATGTGCTGCTCAGCTGCCCACATCTTAATAGTTACATAGATCAAGCATTCAGATCTGTGAAATGAGGGCCAGGTAGAGGGGGCTACGGTGCCTGGCAGCCTCAAGATGAACCCCCAAAAATAACAGTGAAAACTCTGCTCTGGTTTCTACTGCAGGTGTTAGGTGTGGATGGTAGTATTTGCATCGTAGTGTCATTTTTGTATTCACTACGCTAGTCTTCGCAGGCACTAAAAATGGACTGAAATATTTATTTAAAAAGCAAAACTCTCAATAGACTGTTAGCTTTAAGGTGGAAGTGTCTCTACTGGTGAAATATATAGAAGAGTTAGCTTGTTATACACCTTCCTGGCCCTTAGAAAGCCCTATTTTAATATAATGGAGACACTTGAGTGTTCTTTTTAATGATAAGCTTCATCAATTTTGATTAATTTCTTGGCTGAAGAAAAGTAAATCCATCAGAAATCTCTAACCTGTTACACTTAAACATTTAGAATTTGTACAATTGTACTTTGGCATTAAAAGAAATTTGTCAACACAGCCATAAATCCCTATCAAAATGGCAATTCTTCTGAAGCATGCTACTACACTCAACACGTTTCCTTTAAGAGATTTCCTGGTCTTATGTTATGATAGTTTGTTAAACTTCAGTGTATGTATCAGTAGGGGAAAAGGCATGAAAAACCAAGGACACCAGATGAAAGTATTGATTCAGATTACCAAGGTCTTGAGACTGTTCACTGAGATTCTGCTCCTTGCTGTTGAGTATTTCACATTTATGTTTTTAAACACTTGCAGACTTCACAACCCCCTGCTGAGAATGCTGTAAATGAGGCGCCCAGCAGTGCTCCCAGATTCAGATTAGATATGTTAAAGAACAAAGCAAAAAGATCTCTGACAGAATCATTTGAAAGTATTTTATCACGTGTAAGTATCTTCATGTTTATTGCCTCTGAACATGATTTTATTGTTTTATTTATTTGAATGATAGAAAAGTCATATTGTTATCCTTCCAGGTTGTAGCCAAGTGGTTATTAAAGGCACAGTGACAAAAATATTTGAGCGTACATGTTAGAAGGAGACAAAACAAAGCAGGGCTTTGGTAGAGAGAATACCAAGTCCTGGAAGAAGTGAACTAATTGCTAGATAAGAAATAGTGTATATAGGTATTTAAAAAAATTAATATGAAGTTGAGCATGAGAACTTACGAAAAGCAGCCATTGTTTTATTTCTCTTTCGGATTTAGAAAATTTTAAAAGTAATTATAATTGTTCACTTCTCTTTATGTAGAAGGAAATGATTAGGGAACTGACTAAGCATTCCTAACGAGATACTATATATTAGTGACAGAGAACTGATGAATAATGGGGCATCTGAACTTTTAAATGCTAGAGATTATTTGAAGGCAAGGATTGTAAAGAACTTCAGAAGGCACTAAGAATATGAAGGCATTTATGCGATATCGCATCAGGTAAAATTCGTTGTAAACAGTGTCTGGCAATACCTATTAGTGGGAAAAACTTGAGCTCCTATGTGATAGTGATCCCCAAGAAAATATGTTGGGAAAATGTTTGTCATGAACAGATGGCTGAAAGTATCTGCTGAAAGTATACAGTAGCGGTTAAGAAAACAAATCAGATGTCAAGTTTAAGCACTACTTAAACCTATGGAGTGTCTTCTCATTCAAGTATTCTTTGTTTTGCACCTCATGGAAAAAGTCTGAGGAAAATAGTGGGAGACTTGGAAAGACTTTTGCTTGACAAAGGGTTAAAAAAATCAGACCTTCTCCCTTTTTTTAAAAAAAGAAAAAGATAGTTGTGACAGAATGCCAAACAACAAATGTTAAGTAACAAAAGTTGGGCATTCTCATTTCTCATCAGCAAACAGTTAAATTGAAGCAAGATCTAGTACAGTTTATTGGCTCATAGACATGCAACTTGTAGTGACAAAACTAGGCTTTCAAAGCTTATTTCAGATATCGTATCTAACCTGTTCCTATGAAACAAATGATGGCAAAAGCATGTTCTCCCTGTTATAATTATGCACATAGAGAGGATTTTTAGTTGGATATCTCCCCTCATTACTTCCCACACAGCATTTCTAGAGTTCACCCCTATAAAATCCTGCTGTGGGTGTGTTCAGGATGTGAACCGTAATGTCAGTGTTGTTACACTAACTATAGTAGTTACTGTTCTAATTTTTGCCAGTTTGTCCTGACTGGCATAAGTTGTCTTCACATGAGGACAACAACATATTGGTTGCATTTTCACTGTCATGGCTGTTTTGATGGAAATTCTTGATTTTGTTCAGATCTTAGGCAAAACATTGTGTCTGAGCTTCCAGGAGCGAATCGTCTCTATCGTGAATAACTATAACATTTTATATTTTACCTTGAGTAACAGTTCAAAGAGAACATAAGCCTTAACATCAGAACATAAAAAAAATGATACCATTTAAGGTTAGGAAGATACAAGTTCCATAGTTGTGTTAGCACATAAGAATCCATCAGTAGGTTTCTTGATAGTTCTCTTGGTTACATAAAAACATTAGGTGAACAAATTATACAAAAATATTGTTGAACAGATTATACAAAAATATTTATGCTTTCTGATTTATAGGCATTGAAATGATAATAGCAGAAATTATGTTTTGCTGTGTATTAAATTTATATGGTTTTAAGTCCTTTGTGGTAGGCAGCCTTTTCATTTCTTTGTATCTTGGTGAGAAGTACCTAGTGTGAAAATTTCCTGTTTGGAATACAGAAGGTACTTTAACAGTAGTTATAGTACATGCGTGCAGTATGTGATTATGCACATATCATGCAAAGCACATCATTGCCCATGAGAATTCCTTAATTCCACAGGATCCTTTAAAATGTCAGTGACTGTCCTGAATGAAACCTCTGTTTCTTACAGGGGCAAAGGCTATTCTTAGGCATTTCAGGAAATTAAATTTGATACAGCCTTTGAAAATTACAGATTCTGACTATGCCACACAAAACTCTTCTTGGTGTGCCCCGTATATTATTATATAACTGCTAGTGTGCTTTATCTCTACAGGGCAGTAAAGCCAGAGGTCCGCTGGACAGTTCTGGTGCTGTGGATTTGGACAGCTCCACGTCCAGTACCTTAAGCAGCCCAAGTAAAGTAAGTAAAGCCTGTGGTGAATGTACATATTTAGAAACTTTAGATAATATTCCCTGAAACAACTAGTCAGATGTGAAGTGCTGTTACCGACTGCTCATATTGGACCTGTTCTGTTCTAACATCTTGCATTTTGTTTTGATTATTTTTTTGGAGTAGACAGGCTAAGCCATGGTGTGTGAAAAGAAAGAAACCCCAGAACAGCCAAACAGTATGATTAAAAAAAAGTATCACAGAGTGGGGGGGGAGGTATGTCCTTTTTTTCCTACCTGTAAGAGTTCTGTTGCCACTTGGTGATCTATAGGGTGTGTCTTTATTCCTGTGCCAAGTCCCTCTGAGGGTGATGGAGCTGCATTCATTGCAGGCAGCCTCTTGGATCAGCGACTGCCTTCCCCCTCTCCCCCCCCCAGCTTGAAGCAGTATTTAAGTGTTTTAGAATTTGCAAGTTGGTTACCAAATCATTTTTCATTTATGTCACATGTTAGAATGTGTGTGAGTCCTCTGAGGGACAACTTGAACAAAGTAATTTCCCTGTTTACTCTGGTAACTGAGATTCAGGCTAAGAAATAGCAGTCACATGTCAATACAGTGGTGACATGTAAGATGCTGTTATCTGTAGAGTTTCGCAGGAGATTTCCATACTTTTTGACAAGATGGGACTCATAGTAAATCTGTGTTCCTGTTCTCCAGAAGTTTCAAGTTGCTTTCAGGCCTTTCATTCTGTTCCCCGTGCTATAAAAAGGAGCAGTGCAATTGAGCCTTCATTTGAATTAGAAGTGCCTTGTACTGTATATAAACATACATTTTGTATGTAGGTATCTTATCGCATGAGTCTATATATGTGAAATAAAATATTATATGACATCATCTGAATCTTGCAACAATGTGCGGCAAAACAAATGCAACCATTACCATGCTGCTCATCCTAATCTGGTTGGCTTCATCCTGAAAGTACATACCGTGAATGCAGGATTGCATTCATAAGAAACATAAAACTAAAACAAGAAGTGGAGTAATTTCCCCCTTTGCGTGGTTAGAAAGTTTTAGTCTGAATAAAACAATATAAACAAACAGCATAGAAGAAGCTAGTCTTCTTCCCTGGGGGCAGTGCAGACTTGGATACAACTACTGATTCTGCTCTAGTGCCTAGTCACCTACGGACTCCTGACTTCAGGTAATCAAGAGTCTGCTCTTTCAGCTTATGTTTTTGAAAGAATGGCTGACTCTGGAGGAAACACATGAGGTGGAGAATGAAGAAAAATACATGGTTTTGGACTGAAACAGGCATCTAGTCATAGGATTAAAGTCCTTTATGTGAATCTTCAGGTAGACAAGAGGAATATTTTATTGTTAGATGGGGTACTAAATATACGGTACTCTGAAATGCCACCCTTTTCATTGCTGTCACTGTTACCCAAACCTGACCCAACTGTTCTGTTCTGACCCCATTCTTCTGACTTGTACTCAACATGCTGTAAAATACAATTACTCTCAAAATTACTTTTTCTCTGTAAAATGGAGGCTGTGATTTGTTGACCTAAATGATTAATAACAAAGACATAAAACATCAAAGATTCTTTCTTTGAGCTATCATGATTAAAATGTGCAAGGTTGAAGCAGGTCTCTGTGGGATGTGAATAATGTCATGGAACTGCAACCTCAAAGACTGATTTTAAACCCAGGTATTGATAACCTTATTTTTTGCACTGCTAGGAACCACCATTGTGTGAAAAGGAGAAGGACAGACTTACGGTTCCTACAGAAAACGCTGTCAAGACCAGTGGATCAGTGGGTGATCTCTCCAGAGATGCAGATGATTCTCCTGTTGAGCAGTCTGTTACATTACCTCAGCAAAGCTTTCGGAGGCGAGCAAACACACTGAGTCATTTGCCAACAGAAAGCCAGGAATCTCTGGTACCTGTTGAAACATCACCGTCTGTTCCCCAGAGGAAACTTATGAGGTATCACTCAGTGAGCACAGAGACTCCTCACAAAAGAAAGTAAGACTTATTAAAAGCAGGCTATGATTTTGTTTATTGAGGGCATATTTGGGGATCATAATTGCATACCAGGTATGTCCTCTTAATGGATAAGAAATGTATCGCAGCAGTGTGTCACTCTTTGGAGGTTTGTAGGTATCCTGTTTAAAAACACTTTTAGCCCTGTGTGCTCCACAGGGAGAGAAAACACAAGATGTGTAGTTCCACAGTATATGTCACAAAATTAAGTGTAAGCACAACATAGGATTGCTCCTAAGGAGTTCGATTATATTTTTGCAAGCAATATTCAGTAATTTCTGTTGTTTTGATCTGCAAGCAGTATAAATAAATTCTACTTCTTGTTGTCTATTTATAGAGAAAAATCCAGTAGCATTTGTGATGCCGAAAACCTTGCTAGTTGGTGAATTCATGTGTGACTTTAAAAAAAAAAAAAACAAAACTGACATAAATTGCGTAATCATTGATAGAGGTGAGGCTCCTGTCTAGCTTTTCAGTGAGCCTATGTTAGATTTTACTTGCAAAAACAAGCTGCTGCTTGCCTTCATGCTGATATTCTCAAGCTATCCTCCTTCAAAAGCCTGCCTCTACATCTCTAAAGTCTCCTCTTAACTTTATGGCAGTTTTTTTCCCTCCCTCTATCTGGCTTTTTCCAATTGCTATGGAAACATTTCTGTCTGTAGGCTTCTGTTTTACTGCCAAAACTGCTTGTTTACACAAGTTAGACAGTAGGAAATCTGTATGTGTTCCAGCTCATTTTTCCTGCAGGAGGCAGGACAGTAAACGAACATGCCTGAAATAGGTCATGACAGTGGAAAAAAAGAGAATTATAGTATTTGAAAGAAAACATAACCTGGGTTGCCTTTTTGTCCCTTCTTTGAACCTTTTTAATTCTAAAATACTAGAATGTTTTTGTAGTGCAGTTTAGGACTTGTGTTGTTGGTCTGTTATTGAGAGTTGCCTGATGCTTGTAGCTGCTTGTTCAGTCAGTTCCTGTCTTACTATAGGAATGCAGCTAGAAATTAAGTATGTTTTTTTCATTTCCTTGGTTATTTCTATTTGGGTTTGATCATGTAATTTTTAGTAAGATCTGCTTGTGCCTGCTCCCTCACATAACTCAAACCAAAAAGAAATCACTTGCTTCCCTTTCATAGCAAATGTACAGAACCAGGGGAAATAGAAAACTTAGTAGAAAAGTATACTTAAAGTTCTGAAAAATCACTGGAATGATAGACTTTTAATAAGTCTTGTACGTTTTATGAGTGTTTTTGAACAGCTTACCTCAATTCATAATTTGTTTCCAAAGTGTAAATAAATTCAGTTCTTCATATCATTTCTCTTCTCATCCATTAGAATTCTTGATCATATGCCTGACTTTATCATAGAAACCAAGGGGAAGCACATATGAGGGAGAAGAAAGGGGTGTGTCATTGACAGTTTTTTGCGGGGTTTAAATTTAGTCATATGCTGAAATGCCTTGCTGAAGCCTGTGAGTGTGTGTTTGGGACTTTGCTGATTGGGTTAAAATATTCAGCCTCTTACAGTTACTTTATTAACTGTGAAAAACATAGAAAATGGCTCATTTGTATATGCCAGGTCCCTTTTAGAGATTAGAGAAGGGATTTCACTCCGCACCCCACCCTTCCCCTCTCTTACTGTGTTTTGTTCTTTGTGCTACCTCAACTCCATCGCTCTGGTTGGAATCCCACTATACGGTTTGAACGCATCTGTCGGCGAATCTAAAAGTTCTTCTGGTCAACTTGCACGTTCTCCTACTCTAGCTCGTCTTAATCCCTCGGCCTCTTCGCCCAACTTTTTTAAATATCTAAGGCATAATTCAAGTGGAGAACAAAGTGGGCATTTTGCACAAAAGAGGTGAGCTAGCACCTGTACATAGGTTGGGGTAGGGTTTGTTTAACCATGTCATAAATATGAAGCTCTATAGTGTAAATAATTAAAATAATTTAATATAGACCAAAGGTGGTAGATTTTTATGGGAGAGGGAACTCTTTAACTGCTCCGCTACTGAATGTAGAGCTGCTACTTACATAATTTTTTTATTTTAATAAATAAAATTCTTTCAGACACATGACTTTCTTTAGAGAAAGTTGCTCCAAAGCAACTTGTTATGCAGCAGACAGCAGCACTGCTTAAATTTTGTGAGGGATAAGTTGCCAAGAATCTGTGATCCAGCTCACTCTGTCTCCCCTGAATAATTCAGTTCTGTTCTGCTTTGCTCATGGTAACACAGAAACATATTAATATTCTTTTGTGCCCAACATTAAATGCAAATTGACTAAGTTAACTAAATGGGGCAAGAAATAGCAGGACTGTGGAGAGCTGATACAAAAAGCCCCACAAACAAAAAAAAAAAAATACCACCACACCCCCCACTCCCCCCAAAACCCAAGAACAAACAAACAAAAAAAACCCAACCCACCAGCTCATGTATTTCTCTTGGTTACTTTGAGCAATATCAAATGATACTTTTCTGTGCCTCCTTTCTTAGAACAAAAATAGAGAAATACAGAGAACATTGAGAAAAGGATATTAACCCATCATTTCCCTGAGAACCTGAAACATGTAGCTCCCTAAAAATCTTAACTGTGAAACCCTTTCTTAACCCCTTGAGCTAAAACTGCTTATTTTAGCTCAGAAGGCTAATGAGACCAAATGTCCTTGGAAGCGCTGCCAACAGCCAATGGCCATTGGCAGCAATTTTTATTGCTGCTACTGTTTATTGTTTGGTTTTGTTCTCTTGGGTGAAGGTTTCCTGTTTCCCCAAGGTGCTGATTCTTCTGATCCTGAGAAAATACTCAACTGAGAACCTTGTTTCACCAGTTCCCTCAGTTGTATTTGCTGAGTACTAACTAGCATCTCTCTTAATTTAGCTTCACCTCAGAAGTATAGTATAGCTCAGGGGAGGAAATGTGAGTCTACAATGTCCTCTTAACTGTTCATTTTAATAAGACTTACTTGAATCCTGAAGGTTAAATTCTCAAAAGCACATTTTTTCAAGATTTGGTAGTGATTCTGCACGCACAGTAGAAACTTCTCCTTTGCTTTCCCTGTCATTTAAGGGTATAGCATATTGAACCTCTAAGCGACAAGACTGAAAACAGAAATTGATAGGGATATCAAATGGGTTAATGAGTTTAAATCAATAAAGTCAAACTGCCCAAGTTGATTGTATTCTGTAAGTGAAATTACTGTGTAATTGTGATGGATTTACAATGTGATTGTAAGTGAAACCTGTTTGCAGGGCACACCATGCTACAGCCTTATCTTCTTCGTGCTCAGTACCAGCTACTAAAGAACAGCTTCACTTCATACTAGAGATTATCCCAGAGTATCCTCCCATCCCACTCACATCATCATGAGACGGCGCTAAAGGCCATCCAGATATATCATTATGGTTTATCAGAAACAGTTCTTTCTTAAACTTAGTTTTTCAGGAGTAAATTCTCCTACTCATGTTTTTGTGTACTTTTCTGAGAAAAGGGAATCTAGTATCATCAGCCAAGTAACTTTCTATGTTTTCATTCCATGCATGCAGAAACTTTTCGTATCTGAGTTGTTCTCACTTCCTTCTATTAACCTTCTTCTGAGTATGTTGGGGGCTTGTTATTTTAAAAGAAAGAGCAGAATTATGTTGGCCAGAAGGCTGTTGATGAAATTTGATTAGTGCTCCTGTCTGTTGCATAAATAGAGCCACAATCCTAAATGATCAATTGGAAGGCTCAGCTTTTAATTTAAAAGTTCCAAGCTTGTCTGAATAAAACCCTGTCTGAATGTAATTATATAAAACTGAATAAAAATTAAAATACAATTAATAAAAATTAACATTTGTTAATGCTTTACAAAATGTTTTTTGCCAAAATCTTATTTTTCTTTCGCCAGCACAATGATTATCAGTGTCAGCTTTTCCTAACCTTTTGCCCCAAACTTAGTCAGTCATTGAAACTGGTATTTCAGTAAATGTACAATGATAAAGTTGGCATCAGTTCTTATTAGATTAAAGGAATTTACTTGAAACAGGCACTAAAAATCTTCGGATATAGCAAAGAATAATAACTTTACTGGAAGTACATTTATTTATGTTGGAACATTTTAGTTTGCCCAAAGAAATATGTATTTCAAAGTAGCACTTTGTTAGCAGTTTCAGTTTTGACTTTGGTTTCCTTGATATTCAGGCCTTCAGGATTTAGCTGCTTTTTGTGTGAAACTTAGCAGTATGTATTATTTTAAATCTGTGGATTTATACTTCTTTGTTCTAAACTCTACTTTTCCCAACTGCACTCTCAGCATCTCCTACCGTACTGCCTTAAGGAAAAAGCTTCATTCTTCCTCTTCTGTGCCAAATTTCTTAAAATTTCTGGCTCCTGTAGATGAAAATAACACCTCTGACTTTAGGAGCACGACAAGGTAGGGTTCTCTCTTAAAGCCTGGAGGTAAAACTGTATTTTCAAAGGTTTCTTTGTGTGAAATACTTCAAATGCTTCTCGCACTTGCAAAACCTGATTTGTGCAACCGTTCACTTGCATGTATTCTGCATGTGATAGCTGTCAAAAGGATGGTGCTATCCCAGATTCCTCTCCCGTTAAGATTGCAGAACGTAGCCATTTTGATGTTGTAATCAAACAACTTCCATCTATCTACTTCTGTGATTATTCGTGCCAAAGGACTGTAATAGCAGTTTTCAGTTAAGAGAATATACGTGGTTCATCCTAAAGCAATGTCAGTGTCCTCAAATTGGAAGGAGAGGATGGCCTTTAAAATGCTCCTCCCAGTTGCTGCCAGAGCTATTTGAAGTTCGTTTGTCCCTTTCAGCTTCAACAAAGTCTTATGCAACCATTTAGCCAATGGCTGGAACAAAGCAATGAATAGTTTAAAGATGTAGCAGGTGAAAGTTATTAGTGGGATTTTTAACAGGAAAACAGCATTGCTGTTCACTATTTCATTGAATATTCTGAATAAAAACCTCTGTATGTACTTTGTGGATTACATCAAAGGAGTAACATCCAGGGTTCCTGGACACTGTTCCCAAGTTTGTTGCTTATTTCAGATGGTGACTTGCAAACACAAAAGTTAAAAGTTTTGCTCCAAGTCTGTGTTGTGAAGGAATATATTACATACCCAGTTCACAGGAGGTTGGCAGTTTAGTTGGTGTTTATAAAGCTCCTTGATGTGTGCTGATAAAAGACATCAGCAGTTCTTTGTGTCTCCTGTGAATAATTGCCAGATTTTGTGGATGGCATTTAATAGCAGAATGGTAAAGATACATTATAGTGTATGTGTCTTTAATGCATTGTGTTTAATACACTGCTGCAAAGAAAGCTGAAGATTAGTTAAAACTGGAGAAAGCAGATTACACAGAGCTGCCAACCCCTTTTGGTGAACCCAAGTGATGTTTGTAGCCTTGTATAAGCCTGCTGCCACAAAGCAAGCTTCACCTACCTAACACTAAGAGCTTGACCCAGCATGTGCACAGCACACTGCACTCCTTAGTTGATGGTTCGTGTTACTGTATTCACTGAAGACTGTGTCACTGTTACTAGCAGATTCAGGTAACCTACTCACAAGCCATTCTGTGTTCTGCAATTTTAGCGACTACGTATCCAAACACAGCCAGCAGGCCATTGATGCGGACAGCCCTGTAAGAACTCGACGGCATTCATGGAGGCAACAGATATTCCTGCGAGTGGCAACCCCTCAGAAAGCATGTGATTCTCCCAGCCGATATGATGGTAAAGTCTGTGATTATTTGCTCCCATGAACTTTGTTAGTGGGTGTAGTCTGTGAAGTATGGATCATTTTGTCTACTGACAACATAGTTCCGATTGTGTCAAATTAACTAACCAGAGAAGAAATTATTTTTATGTGTACTATTTTAATGAGTTCTGGGGAAAAAAAGTATCACCAAGTATTGCTTTGAAGAAAAGGTGATGCTTCTATTTCATATTTCCGTGCTGGAGTATAGAACTATAGACTAGAAAAATCCAGGCCTAGCAGAAGGAATTAAATTTCTTTTATGACCTCAGTTGAGTTCTGTAGTGTGTACTTCATACCAGACTGAATTTGACTCTCGTATGCTGCTCCAGTCTGTGACATTTGCCACTTGAGCCATAGTTATCCACTGTTCTCATATTTATTTCCTGAAATTCTGTAGAGCTAAAGAACCACAGACTAGAAAAAAATCACTGCACATGAGCATGCAGGTGCATCGTTTTATGCATCTCACTTCATGTGAGCCAGACGGTACAGCACATGCTGAGGCCAAGAATGCCTCAGAGAAGCTTGTGTCTGTAGATAATGGTCTCTGGCTCACTAAAGTTTGAATTTCACAGCTTGAGCTCTGGAAGCTCTACCTTCTGACTGTTCTCTAAGACCATTGTATAAGAAATAAGAAAAAGTATAAGGGAACAGGAGGGGTACATCGTAGTAAAAGTAGTAAAAAGTCTTAATGTCACCGAGACATTTTTCTTGCATCTTAAATAGAGACCTTGATTAACTGGACACAGCACGTAACAAAAGTGTTTCTGTCATTAATGCATTGCTTGCAACGTAATTTGACTGACGATGGGGTAAACCATATATGGGCATAGATGTCTCTCAAATTTAGTGTACTTCAAAACAAAGTGATCTCAAGAGCATGTTGTGTAAACATACATGTGAAATGCTCTCCTATACTTCAAGGCCCATGAAGGAGCTGTTCAACCTTAGCTGTTCTGTGAAGCTACTGTTTTTGCAGGTTTGATGCATCTTTTTGTGACTGGAAATAGTCTTACTTCTTTTTGAAAGCCACAAAACCTTTCCATATTAAATAGGGAAAAAAACCCCAAAACTAAATTGCCTATCCAAACATTTCCTCTGAGACATAATAGCTGCAAGATACAATCTTAACAACCTACAGCTGGATAAGCAGAATAGTTGGAGAAACAAGTGTGGCCAAAATTGAAATCAGGAACTGCTATTAATAGGAGGAGCAATTTAAAATATCTGGCCTTTTTCTTCACTCTTGTTTTCTTTTTCTGTTTTTGTTCCAATGTACATATTCAATTTATGAACAGAGGGAGAAAACTCAGAGTTGGGGGGCGTTTATTATTTATAACAAGTATTGGGTTTTTCCATTTGGATTTTCATGCATCTCCTGGATCATTTCTGACAGTAAAGGATACTCACTCATGATCCAGTGTCTGTGGCCTTTAAGAGAGCTGCTGTACAGATGATCTTACATTGGACTCACCACCACAGTTAACTTTTAGTAACCTAGGTAGTTCCAAAGTAAATGTAACTAGCTATCATTCATCATCTTGTTCTTTCTTTCTTTCTTTCTTTCTTTCTTTCTCATTCAAGGAGAAGCAGCACATGCAGTAGGGTTTATTGATTTGATGTTACCTGTACTTCCTTTTCTTTCTTCATTTTTTTTTTTTAAAGCCTTTCTTGCTCTTTTTAGACTGATTTCCTTTGGAAACAGAATTTATGCAAACAGCTGATATATCACCAAAAGATCAGTTTCAGCCAAATTGGACAGAGGGCAAAGGAGGTTTTAAAGAAAACATGTTTTGTCGTGCTCTGCAAAAGTAAGCCTTAAGAGGGAAACAAGGGAACAGTCACGAGTTTCCCTTTATAGACTGTGACTCCACTGACCAATTTCTCCATTCAAGTGCAATAGCCCACACACCACGCCAGGGTACTCTTCAGGAGAGCAGTAAGAAAAAAGGCTAGGGATTTTTTTAAAATTAGTAAGTCGGCCAACCAAGAGACCCAGATCTCTGTGAGTCAGAGATGATTAAGTTTTTCAAGCTTAGCATAGGCTGCTTTACTAAACTTTGTTTTAAACATAAAATCCACCAGTATGCCTGAACTATGCGTTGCTTTGACCACGTGTGGGCAGGCACTGTCAACAAAATGAAACTGCTCTGTGGCTGTAACTTCTTTGGGTTGTAATCAGTAAATACGCATGTGTAAGATGTCACAAGAAATAGAGACAACTTTAAGCTTTATACACACGGAAAGATCTAGATCCTAACATTTGTGATTCCATTTGTATAGGCAATGGGAGAACTGAATCTCAAAATGCATCATGTTCATTGCCACTCTGTGTGGTTAACATAGCAGGATATGAAGGTGTATTTACTAAAAGTTAAAAAAAACAAAACCAAAACCCAGACAACTGGTACATAGCTTTTGCAGAAATTTTGAGCTTAATCTTATGAGGTTCTGAACTTGAGAGGTGTCTAGTGTCCTGAGTTCCCACATGAAGCTGACAGCACTTTGAGTCCCACTGTCTTGCACTTCTGGATCTTTTACCTCTTTAGGAGGTGTTCATAAGTAGTTTGAGCTAAAACTTCATTTCCTGTAGCTCAGATGGAGAGAAATGATTGCTTGCTGTGCTTTCATGGTTGCATTTTGTATTACCAGGCAGAGAGCATGCTGTTTGTTTTGCAGACACCATTATTTAAAAGGAGTGGTTTATTATATGTGAAGGAGGGTGTTCATTTCTTACTAGTTCAGGAGTAAAATGAAAAACAGTCCTAAATCAGTAGAGTTTAAAAAAAAATAAATATTGCAAATAGATACACCAGAAAGCCTTTTTTTTTTTTTTCTTCCCAGTTGAGATTCCTGCCTTGCCTGATGAGTGGACTCAATCTAGCCATGCTCAGGCAAGGTGAGCGCTCTGAGACAACAGAAAGCCTTGGGTACAGGAAGCCATTATTTTTGGTTGTTATGGGAGCAATGTCCCATGTGCAGGTCCTCCTCCAGCCACCTCCTTCTTGTGGGTGCTGCCACTTTTGCTTTTCCCTGCTATTTTCCCCTGCTTCTGCACATAACTTTATGTTGAAGCACATCGGAGAGGCATTATGCAGTTTGCTGCCTGGCAGGACAGCCAGGTGATCTCTGGTGAGCCTGAAGATGAGGCTGATCTCCAGTTCGGAGATCTAGAAAGGATTTTCTGCATAGGTGAAATGAGCTGTAAAGATTTTTATTGCTTTCCAGCTGGTAGCTGGAGGTTTGCAGGGTTGAATTATGCCAGTTCTATTGTAGCAAGCTACAGTTCAAATGTTCAACCTCATCTCCTGCTGTTTCCTGCTTCCCATGGAATGGTTGTGCTGCTGTGGGTGGTGTGGAGCACTGGGGGGCAGCGTTTCTCTCACCGCTACCTTGAGAGACACTGAGTGTCTTGTGCTCTGATATTTTTCTTTTTTATTTGTGGGAGTGGAATGAGTGTTGTATCCTGCAAAGTGGAGAGATGGAAAAAGAGGAGCAGAGGTCACTTACAAAATGGATCACACTTTGATCTGTTACAATACAATATTTCTTTTGAAAGAAGGTTTTCATTAATCTCTTTTTCTAAAGCTTTTTTGGCCTGTTTTCTATATATGATCTTGATTTTTACCTTTATACCTGCCCTCCCTACTTGCAGCCAGATCTTCATACTTCTGTAGTCTCTCTCTAACAAAAGCCACATTCTGTGGCTATGCAAAAGGTTTAGGACTTCCTAGTTCTCTGTCTTCGCTGGTAAAAAGGTGAAGGGAACAACTTGGTGATCATTTTAAACCAGATGAAGTATGGGCTCACTCAAAAAAGGTGATTAGTTTTCAGCTGTAGCAGTTTTCTAGTCCCACTCACAGTATTGCACAAGCACTAGAGCAGGCACAGGGAGGCAGGCAGGGACATGTGTCTGGAAGCTGAGGGTGGGTGCTCTTACCCTACTCAGGAGCAGGACACACTTAGATCAGTGCAGAGTGATCATGAAACTTCACCTTGCACTGCAGTGCAGCAGGATATTTGCATACTTTTATTCAGCATCTACAAATCTCTGTGCAGGGGACTATTTTCACAACAATTTTCACATGTTGACTGTTCAGAATTGGTCATAGTGGGAGAACTGTTTTGCAGATTGTCAGAAACTCCCAGCAGAGTAAAGTCAAGTGCTGGATTGAAAGGGAGTGTGAATAGTTTTCTGAAGTACATGGTGGGAAAGTGATGGTGCTTGTCATGAGCTTTCTTGCTGTGGGAGGTGTGTTGGCAGTAGACAGCGAGATTTTTAACAGCTGTGTCAGTTTTAGGTTGGAGAATGGGTGATTTTTTTTTAAGGTGAGCAGTGGGGTGGAGTTACATGTTGAACAGTGAAAGAAATTGCAGTTTGGAGGAATGAGATGCTTGGTATTGTTTAGCAGTACTCAGAATAGATTCAGATGAAAAAAAGGAACTTTAGCCAAAACAACTACGTAGTATTTTACAACTTGACTTGCAGAAAAAAATTCTTTTAGAAAGTACAAGTATCTCTCTACAGGAAAAAAAACTTGATTCGTTCGTTAAAATGAATTGGGTTTCAGTCTCTGCCAGACAGAGGCAGCAAACTGTTAAATCCTAAGTGCTGAAGAAAAGCTTGGATTTGAAGAACTCTTATTCTTAAAACCAGTTGTAGTTAGCACCTACCTATCTGTTTGTGCTTTGTGGTGAGGGTTATATCTCTTCCATTATTTAAACAAAAATATTTTTTAAATAATTTTGTAGTAGTACTGGAAATACTGTAAACTGTTGCTTTAGCATTCTATACTTAGAGTGTTTATGTGGTGTAAATTATTCATAATGTGTCCTCCAATACTGTTTTAATGGCTCTTTTTTAGCAAGAAAATTATTAACTAACTAATGACTAGTTTTTAAATGCTGTAATAAAGCCAGTTGGTTAGAATTGATTACTCAGTTCTGTCCCTCTCAGAGCAAATATATGCTCATA